AGAGAGAGAGAGAGAGAGAGAGAGAGAGAGAGAGAGAGAGAGAGAGAAATGCATTATTGAGCTTCATGTCGATTTGTTGTTGAATTTCCCTACTCGATAATGTATTTCAATTGAAGATTAAAACAATGAAAGGTAATTACCGTTTTTGGTCGTCGACAACATCGTCTGCACTTTTGTATGTATTGCAACCGCCCCCATGACCCTTCCAGTTGCCAAAACATAACCAACAAAATTCATGGTTGCACTTTCGACAAGTCTGGAAATAAAACGATTAGTTTCACCAAATTTCATTTTGTGGACAAACAATGGTTTGATTCACACTCACCATGTGATTGCAGCCGCCGTTCTTTTCGATGATCGAATGACATTTGGGACAGCACTTTGTGTATTTCGTGAGATATTCAATTGTTTTGTCGTTGTCGTTTTTCTTCCAGTTTTTCATCAAATTGCATGGAATCGGGTCATGTGAATCGTCACCACAATTGAAACAAAAATTTTGACCACATTGGCACTTACAATTCTGTCGATAGGCTATCAAATGATTGGCTTTTACGGCCAAACTACAACCAGGTGATGGACACCAACGTAACGAATGATTGTGCTGTCATTTGAAATTTAAGAAGAAAACACACATCAATATTCGATGCACGAAGATTAAATTGAGCGAAGCAGACGAGTAGTAGTTACTTGTAGCTCTTACCTCAACGAAACTGTTAGTCATCAAATGTTGATATTTCTGTCGGGTGTTTTCATCCGAAACCAATTGCATCACGGTGACATCATCGACAGCGATGCCGCATTTGGTTGCTGGACAACAAATCGACTCGGCATGACCATCGTCGGATATTTTGATTGTCAAATATTGTCGCCAACAATCCTTGCAGTACTCATGATCACAGCCAAGGCCGACAATATCCTAGTGAAAACGATACAAATGTGAATTAGTCAACGTTTGATGAGATATTTAGTCACAAAAATGGAGTCAAACGATTTTGTCAACTCGTCAAATTGATTGGACGCTTGGTTTTTACAAAAATAAAATCATACAAAATTTTTTGATGTTTATTCAGTAAATCAACACAACAAACGATTTCTTGGAAATAATAAAATGTCATTATGAATCGCGATAATGTTCAAAATCGTTCTTTATCTATCGATTATTCAATAACAACAACAACAACAACAACAACGTTCATTTTGTCGCACAGTCGGTGTGCGAATACTTACTAATTGTGAAAAATCCGAGAAACAAATGGAGCATGTGAGTTGTTTTCGGGTGGGCCGTTTTTTCGGCTGCACTTTGAATGGATTCTGAACGTGTGCCACCTTAAAAAATTCATCGCGATTTTCGTCTGTGAGTCGATCCAGAAGCTCTTGTTTGTCCCATTTCGTGTGGCTCAATAGAATTCGTGTGGCTGTCGTTGTCGCCGGCATCTGAGTGAGTGTGTGTGTATGTGAGAGAGAAAGAGAAAGCGGTATTGTATATTCTATCGGTTTACATTGACATTTCGCATTACAACAACACGCTTCGTTCGTGCATTGTACACTTGCTGCGAATTAGGGAGAAAACCCCACTCACCTCAACGATGGATTCAACCTCTTCAATGTATTGATTCATTAATTTCACGATTTCATCGGCTGTCATGGTTTCGAACGATGGAATTTTTGGAATAGATACCGAACTGTCCATTTCATCGTCTGAATTCATTTCATCGCCCGAATCCATTGCAAAATATTCTTGTTCGTCGTCACTATCCATTCTGATTTGTTGGAAGTTTTCAACTTTTTTTTTATTAAATGTCAAATCAATTACGACAAAAACGATTTTAATAGCTAGAACCTAAAAATATCAGTATTGAACACACTTTTGTTTATTTCTATCTAATGATTAAATAGCTCACTAAGCTGCTATCGTTTGCACTTTCTTGTCGATACTTGTTGCATATATGAATGCCAAACACCTACTGATATACGGTGATGCGAGCGCAGCAGCTATTAACTGTTTGTTGATGTTGCTACACATTGTGAAATACAATAGACTTTAATCGCAGCACACATGTCGCCATCTTTTGGACTTTTCCAAACTTTCGAATAAAAAACATTGCCAGTTTTCGAAATTGGAATCGAGTGATATATGCAACGAATACGAATTCGATTTTGTTACTATTCCGGTTTTTTTTGTCTGAAAATAAAAATTGAAAAGAAAAAAGATCAGAATTTTCCGTTGGTTATTTTGTATTGACGCAAAAAATGATGGAAAAGAAGAGAATACTCTTTTGCAAAGAAGTTGACTGATTTATCGTTGTACAGCCACTTCTATTTGCTTTTCAATAATTTTTCTCGAAATTCTCTTTAATTCAAAGACGATGATGGCTTGAATTTTCGCTTTATTTTAATCAAACTATTTTATTATTGAGCATCATATTGACATTAACTCATTTGTATTCATTTTTCGTCACTTCAAACGGATTGCTCAGCATTTTGCCAACCGATCAAAATTATATGAGGAAAGGATACGGTGGATTTGTTCTTCGATGCATTTCAAAGAAGATCGTCGAACTGGATCATGATATCTATGTTGGCATTTCTGATGCAAACTTACCGTCTCGGTCGATATTTCAAAAACAACATAGTCTTCGTCTGATGAATAAATTTCAAATGGTTCAAAGTGTTTGGAATATGATAATTTTACAATTGGTTTACATCTTTCAATAAACTCATTGGAATTGTATCTATTTTTGTACATTAGTATCAAATTATCCAACCATGTTATATCCTACCGATTACATCACTTCCTAGACTTACATTATGTCGTATGAAAAAGTCTTTCATTTCGATTGATTTTCTTTCACATTTTATCTTCCGATAAAAGTCGGACTTGAGGTGGTTTGCATATTTTGCTCGTCAGTCAATTTAAATTCAAACCTGAGCTATATTCATGTGCGGTAATAGGTAAAATGATTTTCAAGTGCAGTATAGATTACAAATACATAGGAAATATGGAACTGGAACGATTATTCAATTATAACTATTTGTTGAAACAAGATATCTTATCCAGCTAACATTCAATTCATATGAAGAAATAAAAAGAATTACATTGGTAATCCCGAACTTTTCCGTACCGTTGGTATACGTTGTCCGTAGGTACTTTTGATTATTTTTTGTGAATTTTCTTGAAAT